TATAATTTATACTTTTTTTAATAAAATTTTAATTATAATGATTTTTTTTTAAAATATACGCAGTAGTACTTAAATGAATTCTGTAAATTAATTGCTCTGCTAGCGATAAAGTGAATTTTACACTTTAAGATATAATATTTGCGATTTCAAATTATCTTTCTTCTTAAATATAAAGAACTCGTTGTGACAAACATTTTGTTATTATAAAGTATTCTTAAACATCTATATGATTTTTTTTACAAAATATAAAATTATTTAAATTTTAGAACTGAAGAAATGGAATTGTATAAATATATTCTTATTATGCGTTGTACCTGTATTATTATATGATTTATTGTATAAATTTTTAATATATCGAATTGTTTAATGCACATAGAAATATAATATTAGTTTTATGAAATCATGGTGGAATGGGTAAATTTTCATACTACTAAATGTCTTAGCAGCAGATTATTACTTCAAAATTATATTTAAGAGTTTATAAGATAAATAAAAAACCCTTTCATAAAGTAAATAGCATGATTATTAATGTAATACTCGCTTTCTGATTTATATTAGGAACAAAAATTAAAAGACTTTCCTGCATACAAAAAATATGAAACGTTCAATAGGAAGACAATAACTAATGAAGAGAACAACCCTTGTAATGATCTCTACTTTGATAATGAGGAAGCTGAAAAATTTTGTAAACAAGCAGTAGAAATTTTAAAAGAATTACCACGTATTACTGATGATAAAGCTCGTAATGAAGAATGTGCTTATTTTCAACATTGGTTCAGTGATACTGTTAGGAGAAAGTTTAGTAATAAAGATAGGTTTTTTAGTAATTATGATCTTTCGAATTATCTTTTTGACGTAATAAATACTTTTAACTATGATAAATACAATAAAACACCAAATAAATGTTATGCCTCTCGTAATGCTGAATATGTTAAAATTGAAAAGGATTTACACGATTATTTTATAAATTTTGACAGTATTAGCTGCAAAGGTTTAAGTAAGAAAACATGTCAAATGTACTATAATTATGTTCAAGAGATTTTACCACACTATAAGGACCGTAGAGACCGTCATTTGTGCTGTTACCTTGCCAATGGTGAAGTAGAGACTAAATGTAAGAATTATTTTAAATGTGATAAAAGATATGACCCCAAAAAACTTTTGAAGAATTTAGAAAAGGAAATGGAAATAATTGATAGATATGGACAAGTGGATAAATCATCTTGGGATGAACTCGTGGCCAAATATGACGCTGAACAACAATCTAAATATCAATATTGGTATTCTTATGATCCATATACATATGATTACTATTCGCCTAGTCAATATAGCTCAATTAATCAGAGT